GGAAGATCTCTAACTTCACGTAGGTACTTCCAAGACATAATCTAAGAACATGTAGCCATTCCCCAGTTAAAATTCTATGGTGGGTCATTGATATTTGGTGTTGCATTTTCTTTGGCAGTTTTGCGAGGAAGATCTCTAACTTCACAGAGGTACTTACAAGACATAATCTAAGAACATGTAGCCATTCCCCCCCCCGCGGTGAGAGATTCTTGCTAATACAGGATAATGCCATGCCCAATAGACGTATTGACGATGACCTACCTGAAAGAGATTGGAATCGAGTGCTTGGTGTGGCCAGCTTTAAGTCCAGATCTTGAAACCAAGGTAACACCCTACAATTTGAAACGGTTGTTCTTGATGACTGGAAAAAATTCCTCAAGGATTTACCAGTAATCTTTACCAAGAAATGCAAAGGCGTTTAATGGACGTAATTCGTGCAGTATTAAAGGGGAGAAAAAGTTTTTTTTTTGACATTTTTACTTATTTATTTATGTTCTTTACTCATTAATTGTGTTTTAGAATAGGTAATAAACATTTTCTTTTTAAACGTTTTAGTTTTACAACCAAACCTTTTTTTTGTGTGTGTGTGCGAAATATGAATAAACCTGTACATAATAAAATTTAAGGTTGGTATTTTGTCCATCAGTGTAATAAAACTAGTAAAGATGAAAAAGAAGGAAACAAGAAAATTGAGTTTTTTGTTATTGTCCGTATTTATGTAAAAGGGGAAAGAAATGTCCAAATGTTAAAATATATACAGAGTGTTATTTACAATAATTTCTATGTGTATCTGTTAAGCGCAATATCTCACATAACCACAGTACAGTTTTTTCGTTAAAGAAGAAAAAATGAAATATGATAGAACGGAACTAAAAGAAATGGAAGCTTTTCACGCACCTCTACTATTTATTCTCAGATATTTTGTCCACATTTCATATGGAAAACAAGATTCATTCGTGCTTTCTTGTACCCTGAAGATGTAGATAAAAAAAAATCAATTTCCAAATATCAGCAAGTTTACATAAATAAGAATTGACAATAATTAAAAATTATCATCTCAGGCCAGTGATGATATTATTTTATACGTTTTTGTTTTTATTTGTTGGGTGTTGATGGCCTTAAGGACTTGACTTGGAGTAATTTCTCTAAAAGACGTTTATCTTCATTTAATTTAAGAGAAAATAATACTCGAGCAATTTCTCACCCTCTCTCTTAAAGTACTTTGTAAATTATATTAATATAAATATATAATTTTAACGATTTGTGTCCATTAAAGACGGGTCGTTAAGAAATTAAATTTTAAAAATGAATTGCTAAAAAATAATAGAATTGAAATTAATCTAATAGTTCTTCTTTTCCAGCTAGAATTTCATTATTTATTATAAGTATGGATGTGTTGGACTACACATAAAATAAAAACAAAAAAACATTTTTTATATTCAATCAAAGTATTTCTATTGAATATAAAAATTTTGTTTTTGCATTGTATAAATTCACTTTTTTCCACATCCTACATGTATTTGTTAAATTTAAACAATGTTTGAAATCCCAGGCTCTGAAGATGATCTCAATAAAGATCGAAACGTTGGCAAGATGAAGAAAATGTTTTTCTGAAACCTACATCACACCAGACCGCATCTCACGATTTCTGAATAAATAAAGAAATTGTTTTACTGAAACCTACGTCACATCAGACCGCATCTCACGATTTCCAAATAATCATAGACTAACGGTCATTAATCACCACAAATTTAAAAATAAGGATAAATTTTAAAGACATTTGTGAAAAAGGAACAACACTGTGAACAATAAAACATCTTTAATTCACTACTTTCGTGGTCCTTCTTGACCAACTAAGTGGATCGAGGTCACGATAGCTCAGGTGGTAGAGCAGCGGCGTATCTAGCCGAAGGTCGTGGGTTCGAATCCCTCTCGTGCCATAAACTTTAAAAAAAAAAAAAAACTACTAATGCCACTCATTGGGTATATGAAAACTAGCAGAAACATACCTCTTTATGCATCAGTCCGCATCAGAAACAAGGTGGGGTGCCCAAACTTAATTATACATTTTAAATGTTTAACATTAAAAAAGTATTGTTTTGAAATTTGTATGTATTTTTGTATATTTTAGAAACTCCAGACTAATGAAGGAAAGCGGATCCCTACGAAATCAATCTCGAATAAAGTTGTACAAACTACGGGTATTTAACTTCCACACATCTGTACTTGTATTTTTTTTTTTTTTATGAAATTAGCTGGTATTCAAAATAAGACGTCTTTTTTAACATACTGGGTACAAAATAAATCTAAACACGACACCCAATAATGACACATTTACTCAAAAAACAAACACTTTGAGCCCTGAAGATGATCTCAATAAAGTTCGAAACGTTGCAAGATAAGAAAATATGTGTCTAAAACTTACGTCACACCAGACCGCATCTCACGATATCCATATAAGTACAAAATAAACTTGAAATAATAACTAACTATTATTTCCAAAAATATTTTAATTTATAGTAAATTATACAATGATATAATAATATAATAAAATATATTTTAATATTCGTGTATAACTTTCCGAATTTTTTGAACATTATCTATAGTTATAAGAGCTTTCATCTCTTTGTATACAATATGCTCAATTTCTCTGAGGAGCATTCTGCCAATATATTTGTACTTATTATTGGTCTCGCAATTATAACTGTTTATGGAATAATTGTAATTGACAATTGTTAAGAACTTAAAAATTATTACTATAGTAACTGATATTATTATGGAACTAAATTTCACTTTTTTAAAAATAAACATAATCAAGCATTTGAAAAAATCAAAAACAATCTGTTCTAAATAATTAAATTAAAAAGTTATTTGGATTGTTTATTTTAGGGTTATAATAAAACGAAGATAGGTGTGGTATAGCCATTTCAAACCACGATATGTATTACACACGTGAGATTTTTTTTTTTTTTTTTGAGAGAGAGAGCTAAATATGAACCAAAGAAAGCAGTTCGTGATTCTCTTGAGTCTGTTAACAAGCTCGCTGTAAATGGGAAAGCACAAGGAGGAGACCAGGAGTTTGCGGGTACAGATTGGAATGAGTTGGCTTGCCTGAATGAATTGACGGAGTGTGGAAAAACAGCGGTGGGAAATTTGGGAAATGTGGGGCTTCCAGGACATTGGATCAAGGACGATCCCTAGGTTTTTGATAGATGGATTACAGGAGATGCGCTGGTTGTTAATGCAGACAGAGGAATAGGAAGTAAGGATTGGAGAACGGGATGGAAACCAAAGAAGCGAATAGAAGTCCAACAAAAGCAGTAACACCCCAACATAATGGAGGAGATAATTTGGGTAATGACACTGTCGAGTTACAGAATTTCTTTTAAAACAAGCGTTTCTAATTTGTTTTTCCGACATGGGTAATGGACTTAATAAATGAAGTAAAACAATGTATTGGTTTTGAGAACCTTCGGGTGTTTTGATCAATTTTCTACCAAACCATTAAAATTATTTTTTTTTTAAATAAAAACTTTTTGATCTCGGTTAATTTGGCTTACATTAAAATACGAATGTTGTAACTGATGTATCGACAAAATACTTAGTTTGAAATAAACTTACAAAAAATATGAGTGTTCGAGTGTTTTCAAGCTACAGTATGTAATTGTATGAAGAAAAGAATTGAATAGATATGTAATGAATATTATGGCCTTTTTGAGGAGAGGGTGTTGGAGGACTTTAGCAGTAACAAGGTCAAAATCAGGAACATTTTAGTTTGAGATGTTGAATGGCACAAGGCTAAAACACTTTAAGCCGGGAACACACCCGATGCGACGCTATGCGACGCTACCCGACGCTACCCGACGCAAATCCAAAGTCCCATTTTCCATAAGATCGTATTACCCCCGTGCACATTTGCCCGACGCAACGCTACCCTACTCTACGCTCTGCAATCCCCACTGTACAGATTTTCGTCCAGTAGCTTCAGAACAGAACACTCATATTTTTTTAAAGTTTATTTCAAACTAAGTATATGTAATTTTGTCGTTACATCAATTACAACATTCGTATTTTAATGTAAGCCAAATTAACCGAGATCAAAAATTCATTGGTAGAAAATGGGAAAATACAATTTTTTAAAATAATGAATTTAACTAACAATTTATTAGAAGGTTTTGCTCAAAACAGTACATTAAGAACAAAAGAGGCGTTGCGGTTGTGATAGTGATTATTGTGTTACACGCTGTGTGACTATACGTGGCATGCGTTTGACGTCGCATAAATGTGCACACCCTACTAAAACGAGACAAGGCGTCGGGTAGCATCGGGTGGCGTCGCATAGCGTTGCATCGCGTGTGTTCCCGGCTTTCGGAAGGAGGGATAATTGTTTGAGAGTGTAAATATTCTTTGATAAATTGTGGGTAAGTGTTGTGTATGATGCCGGTGTGTGGAGTGAACTTCGGTCAGGCAAGAGGCAAATGCATTCGTTGTTTTTTTTTCTTCCTACTACTACCAAATTTATAATGCATATATCCGCACAAGAACTTAGTCAATTTAGAATAGCTTATAGAAGTACGGGGTCACTAAAAAACATCCTTTCAAAACCTAAAGACAAGATAGACAACTTGACAAAAAGCGGGGTTTACCAACTCAATTGTAATGACTGTAATATTAAATATATAGGTCAAAGCGGTAGGGAAATAAAAACGAGAGTAAAAGAACATTTGCCTAAGNGACCCTTCAACCTGACGATGAGCTAAAGGGCTCGAAATCCGGATTGTTGCGAAACAACTTAATGTGAGTAGGAACCATCTTTTTTAAAAAGGATTGAACTCCACACTCACCCCATCATTTATAATTTCTAGAACTTAGTCTTGTAATGTACCACTTACTTGTATACACTTTGAAATTTTGGATTGTCTAATTATAGAATATACAAGCTTTCTAAAGTTGTGTTTAAATTCGTTTGATTAAATTTGTATGTTATAAACATATGATGTTAAAAAGCTGGTCTAAGTATTAATAGTTATATTTGTTGTATAGTATTAAAATATAAACTATAAATGCGTGAGTGATCAGAAAGTTTCCGAATCGAAAAGAACGCACTATTGTTCCGGACGTGAGAAACGGAAATTGCATCAGGCCGTCGACAGAAGCATAAATCGTTGGGGTCTTTCCATATTCACCGCATTCGGGGCCCCACGACGTTATGCCCGCTAAGTAGCCCTGGCAGATCAAAGGTCCTCCTGAATCTCCGGAGCACGTGTCCCCGCCGTGGCCGATCCCGCACAATAGGTTCCTCTTGTCGAGTATGCAGTACTTGCTCGGGTCCGTGCACAGGATGGCCTTGCATTCCCGCTTCGCTATTAAACGCACCTTGATGGCTTTCAGCAACGTAGATTTATTCACGTAAATGCCGTTGCCGGATACGTTCTGATATCCCCAGCCGACGGCTTGACACGGTGTGCCGTGCTTTTCGACGGAAAGTAGAAAATCACCGATTTTCGCGATGTCCGACGAGTAGAGAGGGATCGTTCTGATATAACCCGGAGTCGTGGCGAGGGCTCTGTTAAGGATGAAAAGACTGTAATCGTACTCCCATCCCTGGCCTGAATCGCTGCAGCGGGGGTGCCGTATTACTTGCCGGACCTTCCTCGTCTGGTTGTCCTCGCTCGGCGTACGGTCCACGCTCCCGGCGACGATGACTATAATCCGCGAGTCGAAGTACGTGAAAGTTTTACCGATGAAAGTACCGGCGCAATGGCACGACGAGACGACGATGATCAACGAGAACACGATACCACCGCAAATGTGGTTTTCCTCCGGTAGTTGGATGCTCACGACGAATGGAAACTCGTATTTCTTTGCGAACCGACCTCCAACAATTTTTCCAAACGAATGATACTTAGATCGTGAAAATGCTATGACATTGTAAAGCAATAAATAAGAAAATATATACGTTATCGACATTTGACCATTATATTTTTTTTAATAACTAATTTTCTTTGTAATATAGTCTACGTCTATTGTAAAATTCCAACTGCTATTTTGTCCTAATAAAAAAACCCTACACATGTTTTGAACAGATCGACAATTGAACCTCATTGGGTCCGTTTACTTACGCTGGTTTACGAACTGAAACGCGTTTATATTTCACGCCATCTTCAGTGTTGGCTCTAGGTAGCCGAAACCCAACACTGAAAATGGCGGAAAGCCGAAACACGTCTGACAGATCTGTGAAGATAGGCATACGAAATTAATAGAAAACTACTACATCGCGTCGCAGATACCATAGAAAAATGTCACAACGTAATTTTGTTAATATTTGTTTTCACGATGCATCCGATAGCAAACAAAGAAGAAGAAAGAAGAGAAACAACGTAAGAGACCTTGAGTAAGCGAACAAAGAAAAATGCTTTTCACTATTGAGGTGGTAACGCGACAAGCAGGCGAACTGGGCTTTGAAAAATGCCGCCCTTTATTCTGATCGTTACCCCCCAATGTGATACTGGAGGAATATCAGTAACTCTTCTAATAGTCCAGGACAATGAATTGGTGTTAACTTTTATGAAAACCACATCATCAACCTTCAAAGAAGTCGTACTCTTCGCCCACCTTTTTTTAATGAGTTGGTTTAAGTATTAGGCAGACCATTTCGACCAAATGGTTTGGCGAATTTTCTTTCATTTTTCTATCGAGTGTGAGGTTGGAATCGTCAACCATGATTTTAGGCGGAATGAAAACCGGTAATCCCGTCAGAAATTGGTCCGGACTGAGATAATCTTAGTCGTCATCAGTGTCTGAAGTAGTCGCACCTAAGACCCTGGTATTAAGCACCGGCAAAATACCATCGTCTACGGTGTACGGTTGTCATCAAAGGATAATGGAGTAATTTATCAATCAAGAAGTTTTTTTATGGATTTTACAACAGCTGCCCACAGGCAACCCAAATGAGATGCCCCAAAAAGTTTGAACTATCAATCAATTTCCTTATGTGCCAAATTGGTAAACACTAAATCTGTGCATTAATTAATCGTTCTGTCTCATATTGTGTCATAACAATAATAATTGAACAATGTAATGTTTGTAGCTTGGTCGTTTTCGATCATTTGGTCTGTCTCTCTTCGGTGATTAAGCCCTTTGCCATGATCAGGGTGGTTTCTCTTTGAGTCCGGTTCATTTTATATGTTCGTCGTGTAAGGAGAAAAAGACTCAGTTTTATATTATATAAATACAAAATCCGATGTAAAGTGGTGTTAGATCATTTTCATCGAGTCATGTATTTTGTTTTTATTTCATTTTTTTTTTTTTTTTGTCACCAAGTGGAAAAATCATCCCCTGAAAATATGTCCTAGTTTCTTTGATGTCGCTTTCAAATAAAGGAGATTTTAAGGAGGATTTCCACCTCTTCTTGGAAATGTTGTTTCCAATATCTCACAACAAACGGTTCTTTTTTCTTTTTTGGGACCTTTTTGAGCAGGACTCATGGGATTTAGATAAAATGAAAGTAAATACACTGGTTTTCAAGACAGCTTGAAAATGAAAAAACAACTTATCTGAGAACGAATCTTTTCTCTGATAAATTTAAATATCCAGAAAGGATTCACTTCAATACCCTCTTTGGGAGGACGCATATTGAGGTATATAGTTTAATCAAATAAAATAATTGTGTTATGAAGCCATGAATACTTATGATATTTCTATTGTGAAATACGTATTGCTCTTCAGCGAAGAGTATTTTTTTAAATAAGAATCCGGCGTAATTCTCCGTCGAGTTTTCTGGCTACATACCTTCATCATATTTCATATGACACTATTAGCAATTTAAATATTTTTTTTAGGTATGGTACGTGCGGTCATAAATATGCAAAAAGGAAATCATAACGACAAAATTTGAGGAAAACCCTTTTGTCTGTACTCCCATTATAATATTAAATGAAAAATACTTCGTTTTATCACATTGATAAAATTGGTATTTAATATTGGTGCTATGAATGCTCTGAACAGGCTTCTATCTGAATGCTCTGCGTTGCCTGTTATCAATCATTGCTGGTAATTTGTGGTCCCTGATTATCTTTAATCAGACGTCTGTTTGTACATTATAGCGAAAATGAGTTAAAGGGTGACCACGGCGGCGTAGCTTGCTACATATTGAATTTTTGGTCCGTCTATCCTCGCTGCTTTTATTGTGTTTCTGCCAAATTCCGTACATAACTTCTAATTTTCAATATGAAATTTCAATAAGGAAAGCTAATTGATTATATCGGAGAAGTAATATTTCTTTCTTGCGGTACGGATGGGTACTATGCGTCTCCAATAGCCTCTGATACCCAACTCCGACTTTCCACCTTCACGAAGCTCACGCGGGTGTACCCTGTTAATTTAACAAACGGAAAGAGGGGTATGGAGGGACAGGAGCTGGACCTGATACCTCCTAATCCTAAACCCAATACCTTACCCCTCTTCCCACTCTACACCCTCTCCCAACCCCACATTCCAGCCCAAATCCAAGGTGTTATGCGATCCGTGCCGATGGATGAATGGCACAGGGGTCTGTGCCAATAACGGACCCTCAAGGGCACCAGGCGACACCCTTGAGTAAATAGCCTTACACCGGAAAGAGGGCTCCTCCGGTGCGGACCTTTAGATCCCTCTCACTCGTGGGAACTATATGGAAAAGCCTACAGTAAACAAAAAAAAACACCGGGGGAACCTGCAAAGGAAGAGCCCAAAAATCAACTCTGAGGAGGGCTCCGAACCCTCCCCAATTCCCATAACCCAAGAATTGGAGGACAATCTTCTTGCGTCGCCTTCTGCAGATGTGGGGAGTCTTCGGGAAAAAACCAAACCAGAAGACGAAACCACTCCAATGGAGGTGACGGAGAAGATTGAGGAATTACGTCTAAAACCCCCCAAAATATCTGGGGCACAAAGACGCAAAATGGCTATTCAAAGAGCCAAACAACGGGGGGAGCCTATCCTGAGAAGGATCAGGAAAGGAAAACAAAACCCCAATGTGCACTTCCGGACTCCGGCACCAGGCGAACCATTGGAAGAGTTGACCCCAAAAAACCGGGGCCAACGCCAACCAAAAGAGGCAAAAGGGACAGGTCACTGGGTAGCAACCCATCATCAATTGGAAGTGCTCCTAGGACATGCCCCAAAAAGAGCAAAATTGAGGGAGGCGGTGAGGAGCGAGTCATCCCCCAACATAGTATTATAAAAACGATCGAGGAACTCCAGATTTTACGGAATATAAGAGGGAAGGGATGTTCCCTGACAGACACGGCAATACCGCTCTATCAGGTAAGATCGGATGAATTTTTAAGAGAAATTGTTACTAAAACAGACTTTATTATGAAATAAGATTCTATTCTCTTAAGATTCTATATTTTAAACATGACTTTCTTCTTGTTAGATCAATGAGGTAGGTTGATGAAGTTGACGGCCTCAATAAGACGCTGTACCTATTGTAGATAACTCTCCCTCTCTCTCTCTCTTACTCTTGAAAACCCGGCATTTTACCTCCGTCTCCTTTATAAACTTGGCTTTATAAAATCAGTTCCTTCTTCTGTTGAACATAATCAATTCCTGCCCGTTGGGGTTGATTGATGGGCCTTTACTTCCGCACCAGTTATGACCCGTTCTTTCTTATGTAGTGACAGAGTGGAGGGCCCGGCAGATGTACGGCCTTTATCGAGAGAATTAAAGGGAAAAATCATAAAATCAGATTTGTTCTAGTCTTGGATGACTTCCACCTTTTTTGTCTCATTATATAGAAATCCAATCATGCGACGTCTAATTTTATTATTGCCAATCAGATTAGTTTCCTTCCTTCAATTTTCTCATTACTCCCCTTCAATTATGACTTAGTTTCAACAAAAAATTGCTAAAATGATTTTTTTGCAGATATCAAACTGTATTTTTTTTAAGAAACTTTACTTACACAAACTTATGGTTTTCACAAAAAAAGGAAGGCTGAAGTGAAAGAACACGAGAGAAACTCTAATGGCAAAATTGCTGGTCTCAATGATCATCGATCACTTTTTCCATTCTGTTTACCTTTTATCGCCTAACTTCTCCGACAAATTTTTATGAACAAATAATATAACTCCTGTCTGGACGACTACTTTGCCTTTTGAAAACGGTTTAATGAAAATGTTGAAAAAAATCTATAAACTCTTTCAGCAGGTTGGCAAATTTCTTAATGTTCAGTATTCTAAACTGTCAGATTATTTAAGTGCTTAGGTAATACTTGGACAGGAAATCGAACTTCACTAGACAAAGTTAATATCTTCGACTATTAACCAGTTACTTTACCTTCACGTGATTCAAACTCGGCAATAGTTAACAAGTTCCCACTGTATAAAGTGAGATAATCCTGTTGAAATTACTTTCCATTAAATGGTCCAAGTCTCGTATTTACCGCGCTAGGCGGTTCTGGGTTCGAATCCCTTCGATCTGACTGGGAGTAGGATCTTTTTAAAACGATTTAACAAAACACTCACTTCACCATTTATCATTTCTACCCCTCGTCAATGACATAAACCTTCCTGTATATCAACAATCTTTTTGTTTACTTTTCAAGGAAGTAATAATGATGATGACACTAGATCAGGGTTCGGCAACCTTTTTCGGACGGCGGGCCATTTTCAAAATAAATTTTTTTATACGAGCCGCACATTCAAATATTCACATTAAATAGTGCTTTTATATCATATACGAGTATAAATGTTATTAAAAATAAATATAGAAAAAATTTATTTTTATTGACATGCTATAATAACAATAATGTCAGAGAACAAAAATTTTTCAATTCTTAAAAGGGAAAAAAAGAAAATACAATTCCAATTACATATGTATAAATATGTAAATATAAAATATTAAGGAAAATAGTTTATCTTTCATTTTATTCATTCATTAAAATTCAATGCGCTTTTTGTTCTTGAATATTGTTTGATAATTCATTTAAGTTCGGTTGTGTTTGGGACCTCAACAAGTTTTGTAAATTTTCATCCGTCAACCTCGTTCTATATTTTGATTTTA